CTGAGTCATTCTGGCTCACTGCTAAAAAATGCTGCTGATTGCTGCTTTAGAGAATCCTTCCATCCTTTTGGACAACCAGAATGAACTGTGTGAAAGCAGTGAAAGACTACCAACACTACAGTGATATGCTGCCCATATATGAGCCTGTATTATCCTCACTTCAAAGTGGCCAGGTTACCCAAGTGAAAGTGAATCCTATCCTTTTAACTCAAAGGTTGATTCACCTGACTTAGGTAAGAGGGACAGGTAATAGTTAGCAGCATCTGAGAATCTCAAAGCATGATGAGTAAGAGCCCAGTCTAACTACAATGAACATGTAACCCAGGAAAAATACTTATGGATTATTATAAGAAAGGATGGTAGTGTTGCCCCTCAGAATCTTATGTTAGGTCACACAGTAATTTAAAGGGCAGAGCAGGAATAAGAATACTTATTTCAGTCTATTAGCCACTAACCCAACCTTCCTTACATATTTGCCAAGTTTCAGACTATTTTGCAGTGTGAGAAATAAAGTGATTGTTCCCAAAGGAGGTAGAGAATTGAAAACTGCTTCTCTTGAAACACTGCAATGTTGAGTCCATCACAGAAGGAACAGCAGTATCTTTCTTGAAAGTGATCAACTCTGGCCGCATCTGCACGAGATGCTGACTGCATAGTCATTACTGCACAGTCATTTAGTACTTGTATACACAGTTATATAAACAATTGTATAAACAAGTACTAACTGACTGCATGGTAACTGGAGTTACTGTGCAGTAGTGTTGCTAAACAGCTTTTTTGTGACACTGACTGCAGGAGCCTGAGACTACTGCACAGTAGTATTGTGTCATGCTTTCTGCCAGGAGACACTACTGCATGGTAGTCATGGGCTACTGTGCAGTTAGTGTCTCATGTAGACATGGGCTTTGTGAACATAATATAGGAAACCCTCACCATTCGCAAACTCCAGATTCACGGATTCAAATACTTGCAGGGGAGGGCAGAGCCGGAAGGCAGGCGGAGAGCGAGCATCAGGGACATGGAGGGGAGCCAGCGGCGGCATTTTCTCTCCCGGCAGCAGCCGTGGCAGTGCTCAGGGAAAGGAGTCAGTCCCCAGGCACTGCAGGGGAGCCCCGCGAACAATAGGGGGGGAGCAGGGGGCGGCTGTGGGGTCTGACAGGGAGCCCCGTCAGTATTCGCGGATTTTGCCATTTGCAGGGATTTCTGGAACATATCCCCTGCGAATGGCGAGGGTCTCCTGTACAAACATAGGAAAGCAGTGCTAAACAGGACCTCACAAGATCATCTAGTCCAACTCCCAACATGAGTTACAAGCGAGTAATGTCTGTGTTTGTTTGTAAAGCCAGCCAGTGTTGCAGACTTCTCAATCTGCACTAAGCATATTGTGTGACATAAGTGGCTTGAAACCATGAGACATGAAAGGACATTACTTTCTCAGTGATATTCTGATGAAGCATTTCCATGACCCTGATCTCTAGAGAACTGAGAGCTGGTCTTATAACGAGAATCCTTCATCTAGGTTGCAGAAGAGTTTTCTTATTTATCACTAGTTCTAATTCCTGGAAGATGGAACATGTAGAACTATGAAGATGGAACTATGTCTTTGGAGAGGCCTTTTTCTGATGGGACTTTAATCAGCCAGTTGCCTAAATAAAGATGACTGTTTTCACCTTGCTGTCTTAAATGAATTCTGACTACAAACAGGGCTCGTCTACATGTGCATTTACTGTGCAGTAACTTACTGAGCAATACACAGTTTTTAAGCTGGCATCTACACATACAGGCATTACAGTGCAGTAACATTGTGTGCAGACTGACTTGGGAATAAAGTTAGTCCCAAGTTGATCCACACACACACAGTGTTGCTGCGCAGTAACACATCTACATATGTGCTACTGCACAGTAACTACTTGGACATAAATTTGATACCTGCATCATGTAGGTAGAAAATTTATTCCCAAATTGGTGCAAGTCACCATAGTTACCATGCAATAATAATAACCTAAATTACTGCACAGTAAGTGTACATGTGTAGACGTGCCCACAGAGACTAAATTCCTGAGGCAAGTAGGGGGACTTGGGTCCTTTGCAGTAGACTTGTGCTAAAAGTCATCTTTGACCCTAAGATACTGTGATAGGTGATATCCTGAAAAGGCATGGAAGTGGACATGTAGGTTGCAGGGAGGGGAAAGAAGGCAGAAGGGGTGGAAGAAAGGAACCAAATTGTATAACCCTCTTCCAGTATCTTCAGCATCCATTTATCCAGTGCAATAAAAGGTATATCCAAATGGCATGGTTATGACCCAGATGCAGGGGGATCAGGGCTCAGAAACTGAGAGGCTACAATAATGTTGGTCCAGAAGCCAAGATGAGGGTCACAGTACCAGTGTATCAGTCTGAATCCAATGGTTCATGTCAGGGGATCAAGTAAGTACATGGTCAAGGCAAGGCCAGAGGTCTGGAGATGAGGAATCCATGAGATGAGGATGCAAGGCAGAGGCGAGACAGGAGCAGGACACAGCAGAAAGAGGTCAAGGTAGACATAAGACAGGAGCAAGACAGGGTTTCAGAACCAGGAGGTCCACGAAAGAAGTGAGAGTACTGCAGTCAGGCACAGAGATCCACAACAATGAAAACAGGAGCATGAGCACTTTTGCAAGAGCTAGGCCCTGCAGCAAGTCAAAGGGTTTTATAGCCCTCCCACTAGGGCCTGGTGGCTCTATTGGATCACATAATCTTCTATTGGGAACCTTGCAGGAAGGCTCAGACTGGGCTAGATCCAGCACCCAGCTGGATGCTTGATGGTGCTGGAAGACCTGGGTTCAAGCCCTGGGGTCCTGACACTAGAGTTTAGCTTCAAAGTCTGCCTAAACCCATGAAGTAAATGATTGCAGATTGCACATTCTGAGGGATATGAGTGAGTTCTTAGGAACTGGTGTGTGGGCAGTTGGGGAAGGTCAACTCATACACAGGCGATTCCAGGAGCTGGGTTCCCAGGGAACTGGGAGTCAAGGCAAACCAGAAGATGATGCTGAAGTCATAGTTTCATAGTTGGTAGGGTCAGAAGGGACCTGAGCAGATCATCAAGTTCAACCCCCTGCCACGGGCAGGAAAGAATGCTGGGGTCAAATGACCCCGGCTAGGTGATTATCTAGCCTCCTCTTAAAGACCCCCAGGGTAGAAGCAAGGACAACTTCCCTTGGAAATTGGTTCCAGTTCCTAGCTGCCCTGACTGTGAAGTAGTGCCTCCTGATATCCAGCTTGAATCTACTCTCGGTCACCTTATGGCCGTTATTCCTTGTTACTCCCGGTAGTGCTCAGGGGAACAGGGACTCTCCCATTGCCTGCTGGTCCCCCCTGGCCAGTTTGTAGATAGGCACCAGATTCCCTCTCAGCCTCCTCTTGTGGAGGCTGAACAGGTTCAGGTCCCATAGCCTCCACTCGTAGGGTCTGCCCTACTGCCCCCTGATCATGCGAGTGGCCCTCCTCTGGACCCTCTAGATGCTGTCCACATCCCTCTTGAAGTGTGGCACCCAGAACAGACACAGTACTCCAACTGCGGCCTGACCAGTGTCACAGAGTCAGGGTGAATCAGGAACCAGAGCCAAACTGGGGTACATTAGAGCCAGAATCAGTCAGGATATGCCAAAGTTCAGAGCCAGTGAGATATACCAGTGTCTGAACCAGAATCAAAAGCCAAAGCTGAGATTGGGTCAGAGATCCAATACAAGGAGCAGTAAAGCACAGGGAGGTCAGGAACAATAACTAAGTCTTTGCCCAGAGTACTGCAAGCTGGGCCTAGTTTTCAAAAGTTGAAGCAGGTGGAGTTTATCGCCTGTGGCCTCAGGGGATTGCCTGCCCTGGTTGCCTCATTAGGATAAGCTGGGCCCAGGGCATGATCTGGGCTCACTGCAGATGGTGCCTGTTTTTCTGCAACCTCAGGGGATGAACTGTCCTGATTCTTTGATTGGGACTGGCTGATATGAGAGCTTTGACCTGGTCTTAGTGAATCCACTAAACAATTAATGAGTCCAGGAAGAGCACACACCAACTGCAGATGCTTCTTCAGTCTTATGAAGGGTTTTTAAACCCAAAAGATTGCTAAAAACTTTGTTTTCCAACTATTTAGTTGGTCTAATAAAAGATAAAAGATTTACGCAAAGAACTTTGTCTGCCAATGTGCTTAGACCAACACAGCTACAACCTGCACCCCACTAAGCAGTTAAGGCATTCATCAGGCCCATTTGTGGCACGCTTACTCCCACTCCTGGAGGGACATATCCTGAAACCAGCAGGTCTGGGGGAAGCCAGGCTGACAGTTATGGGAGAGGCCTGCTTGAGGTAAGAGAAGAAAATGGAGAAAGTCAAGGAGGTTAGGAGGAGCAGGGAATGTGCACCATGATTAATGTGCTTAGTATGGGGTACAAGGAGAGGACAGAGGTGTTTTATTTCTTATGAAAATGGAGCTTAGGATGTATATCGATATGTCTAGCCCAAACCCTCCTTTGACTGAAGATCTAACCTTGGGCTTTCACTGAAGTCTGGCACATGTAAGACTGAGATGGGCTGAACAAATTTATTTGAAGAGCTGGAAAGTGTTTAAAGGAAATATGTAGAGATATCTGCAACAGCTCATCTAATAGCCTCCTCTTTTCTCCTGGGTATGTATGCTATTCCCCTTACGAGGAAGAAACAACTTTGGCCTTTTGCAGATTTGGCAATGGAGACAAATATAGCAGATACAAAATACTGGTGTCTAGTTTAGGAACAAAGAGATAGGAAGAGGCCTCCTGTTTCCCTTGCTATCACAGGCAATCATCGTACATACTCTCCCTTCCCTGGTTTGGCAGGAACACACTCTTGAGAGTGGAGCATTGAAGCTTGCGAAACATGATACAGGTGAGCAAGGATAACAACTCCAGCTTTTTGTGCTAACAAGTGAAAATGTTATTCAGATAGAAAATGCAAGAGGCTGATTCATAAAGAAAATAGAGACTCACCTTTGATAAAGCTGCTGAAGAATGGAAATGTTATTTGAACGAAGAGTCCTGTCAATTTCTAAGTGATCTAGAATGTGAGGTGGTATGGATTTGCCCTCTTCCATGAGGAGGGCCAAATTAAAGAATCCCTACAAATGAAATATATACATAATACATAAATAAAGATGAACACAGGGAGGGCCCAGTCCTGTACCACTGAAATTTGATTCAGCTACTGAACAGCATGTAAACATTTACAATAGCCTCTTCAAACCCTAGAGCAGTATGATTTTATGATCTTTGCTGAATAACCATAAGCTCCTTCCCTCCATACAAGTATGTAGTCATATGAATAGTGTATTTACATGAAAAAAACATTCTTTTGTTGTGATTTCCCAGAAACTAGCATTTCTAGATGCCTGCTGAATACAATAACACATGAAGATTTCATCATGCTGGTAAGTGTCATCTACTACAGACATTCAGTAGTAGAAACTGAAAACAGAACTGGACTAAACTCTGCTCCCACTTATTCCCATTTAACCCTTCTGAATTCAGTGCAAATTGCAACTGTGCACCTGAAAGCCATATAGCTTTGGCCACAATCTTACCATTACATCTACTCAGGCAGATCTCTGATTTCAATGCACACTGTAGAGGCACAAGGGTCAGCTCATGTGGAAGCAATTGCAGCTTTGGTTTTTCTTTCACATTTTCACTATTAGTTACTACAAGCCTTGGTAACTTGTTCTCAGATCCTCAGTGTGGATCCCAACTCAGGTAGCTCTGCTTAGCTCACGTGTAAGAATTTCTCTGCTGTCAGTGGTACTTCCATGCACTGCATGAGGACAGCAAAGTATCACACCTGAGATCTGCTATGAGGAACTGAGAACAGAATACTCAAAAAAGTTCATGGTCTCTGTCAGCCTAGGTGTCTTCCTCCTGAGGTTGAAGCCTGCCAGTATCTGTAACCAACAGGACAGAAGGGAATGACATGGCTAACTTCACATCTGGGCATCCTGTAGTAAATTACTGAATGCCTTTGATAATGTGATCTGGAACATCTTGGCAGTATATGATGATGCATAAACTGAAGTTTTTGTGATTTGTGAATTAATTCCAAAGAAAAATCTGGTGAATTCAAGGAAAATACCCCCCTATTATTAATAGTAATAATATGTATAGGTACTGCAACAGTATCTAAGGGCTCCTATACATGTGCAGGAAGCCTGCTTGGATGCACTGTAATTCCAGCGCATCAGAGAAAACTCAATTAATCGAGTCTGCTGGAGCGCAGAAATTAACGTGCTCCAGCAGCCTCCAGTGTCATATGTATCAGCATCCCCATGCTAAAAAATGGTGGCAGGGGGCTTTAAACTCACTGATTGTTCAACGAGCTCTAATTAAAAGCACCCTGCCACCATTTTTCAGCGTGGGGACACTGATACACATGAATCTCCAGGTGCTTTTAATTAGCACAGCTCTAGGAGCTGCACTAATTAAAGCACCTCCCCCAAAGCACACGTATAAATGCCCAAAGGTTCCCAATCAGGACTGTTATTAAAAACTGGCTGGAGACTTCCTTGCAGTCCCTTAAGGAGAAAAAACAACTTTTTCTCTGGCAGATCTGGCTACAGGCTTGATTGTAGTTATATAGAGTGCATCTTCACTGCCACAAAAGATTGGTACCTTCATCATTAGCTCTTAAAATATCACCATTGATTTAGCATTTGTCTTTCCTTATTGTAAAACAGCAAACCCTACATCAGGGGTAGGCAAGTTTTTGGGCAGAGTGACAAAAACACCTGCAAGCTTGACTTGTAAGATGTTGATGTGCTAGGGGCGGATGGTGGAGGAGGTGTGAAGGGCCTGATCTTTGTTGTGGCAGCACAGCTCCAGCCCCTTTCCTGCTGTCCGCCCTGAGGTGTACATGCACCCGCCACCAGCAACAAGCCAGGCCGGGGCTCTGCATACTCAGTGCAGCCACTTGCAGCCTCCTGGCTGCCTGCAGCAGCTGACCTGGGCTCTGGGCAGGTCCCTGTCACCCATCAAGGAGCCTAGGCTGTTTGCAGCACCCAACGGGGAGGCTGCACTAGGTTCTGCAGAACCCTGGCCTGGCTTGTTGCTGGTGGCAGATGAATGTGTGCAGAGGCAGACAGCAGGGAAGGGGCCAGGGCTGCACTGCCACAACGAGCAGGCCCCTCACAGCTCTCCAACTCAAGGTTCGCATGCCAGTGAAAATGCCCTCACATAACACATTCTAGCAGATATGCTGGGGGTTGCCTCCCCTTGCTCTAGAATTTGACAATAACTTAAAATAAATTAGAATTTCCATTTTATTGGCTGTATGTGAGTAATCAAGAAGAGTAACTGGTTCCTTAGGTACTCATAGTTAATTCCAGCACTTGTGCTTCAAGAATGTTTTGGGTTTTTTTTATAACTGCTCTAACATACCTGTGAATCTCCCTCTAGCGCAGCTTGTGCATACATCCGCACTGACATCTCAAGATCTTTGGACTGGTTCTGGTATCCATAGTAATAGAAATCTCCCATCTTCAAATAAGCTGTGGAAGGTAAGATCAGCAGGTCATTAGTATGTGTATCAAGAGAATTATGCTAACAATATATTTGGAAATTCTAACATATTTTCTATTTAATGCAAACTGAAATTGTCTCTCCTTGATTAAGACCATGACCAGATTTCCATTCCAACCTCAGTTTTTGCTAGAGCTCCACCCCCTGAAAACGTATTCTGTCTGAAACATCCCATGGTTATTTTTATGCCCAAGGCTGTTTTTGGGATGTCATTTCATAATAGTCTGCCAAGGCATTCTGAAACTATGAGATTAACTAATGAAATATTTTCTACTCTTGCAAAAATCTTCTAAGAAGTTTGTGCAATGTTTTCTGCAATAATAATAGCTTCCACAATAATAATAATAAGTTTCAAAATCTTCAGAACCTAGAAACTTCTAATTCTTTTATTTGTTCAGTTTCCCTGAGGACTAGTGCCTAATAATTAGGCTTTGCAGGATTTTATTTTTATTGCTAAATGTCGATAAATGTCAATTTCACCTCACACTCACAGACTGACAAAAATATCCCCATTGGTAATAATCAAAATTCATAAAAAGGGGACGGAAGAAAAGAAAAATCCAGGGCGGGATAAGGAAATCCAGGACACAGGGTGCTGCGCATGTGTGCGCACATACACACATGGTTGCTACTGCAGGTGGGGGGAGCTTGGACAGCTGTTACAGGTGCTGGGAGCCATTCTGGGTGGGGAGGCTAGTCGGATGTCAGCTACTGGTGACAGAGCCTAGAGTGGGGGATGCTGCTGCAGGGGTCTGCCACTGAGGGCCAGGGCTGTTGGCAGCCAGGAGCCTGGTGCTGCTGGCCGCTCACTCTGCCTAGATCCCAGGCAGGGATTGGGTGCCAGACTCCTGCTGAGCTTGGCCCATGCCCTGCATGCTCAGGGCAGAGCACATGGGGGTGCTCCTCAGGTCCAGCTACTGCCTGCACACTGCCTAGAGGCGCAGGAGGCCATGGCGGTCGAAGGGCTGGGCCACCCCTCCATTGGTACCCACCAGGTGGGGCTCACCTCCTAAGAGGTTGAGGGGAGCTGCTTCCTGCTCCAGGCAGGGCAACTGCTTCCTCCCAGCACAGTACGAGTCTTGGGGAATTCAGTGGCATCTGACAGCCAGGAATCCCCTGATAAGCCTCCTTCCACAGTACAAATGTACTACTAAATTAACAGAATTATTTAAAAAGCAGGTATTCTTTCTTGATTTATGGATATTTATTTTTTATATTTTGACATGTGATTTATAAAACCTTTTAACAGTATATTTTCATAACTAAATTGTCTGCCTCCACACTCCTAATTTCACGCAATTCTGAAAATTTAAATGGCTAAAAAATAAAATAAATGCTTAATAATAAAAACCTATTTTAGCCATCAAAACTTATTAAAAAAAAATCAAATTCTGGCGAACCTACTAATAATCTTTTGGGGGAACTCTGAGCCTGTTCTAATTACTAGCCTTGATCATTTGTACAGACTTCAAGTAATTCGGTTCTACTAGGTGCTTATTTGTGTCCATAAACATGGTACCTGGACTTTACCCTGAAGTACACAGTTGTGCTGTCCTGATAGAGAGATTTTTTTTAAGGTAGTTGTTCAAGACTATCCCCAAACTCAGGGAAGCTGCGTTGCTAAACTTCTCTTCAGAGGCAAGTGATCATGGGATCTCTCTTGTTTAGCATCAGACAAAGTAGACTGTAGCCTATGAAAGCTCTCTGAACAAGTTAGTCTATAAGGTGCCACTCTGCCCTGCCTTCTGCGTAACTTCAGACTACCATGGCTCACTACCTCCTCCTTCTACCTTCAATGTTAAAGGAATGGTCTGGCAGAGGATGTCTGGTCCAAGTGTGAGTGAGCAATCCATGATGTGTCATTACTATATCCTGTTCTGAAGAGTTCAGGGTTTATAAACTCCAATGAACTCAGGCTACAGCATTTATAAGCTCTACCACCCCCGGTTTATAATTTTTTAGTTGGCATGATCCTGAATCTTTGCAGTTAATGGGATTTTAAGCCACTGGCTTCAATCAAATAGGATCAAAACCTACACTGTATACAAAGCCTCTTTGTTTTTCAAACTTTAGTTTGAAAGATTGAACAGACTGCACTCCTGAGCAGGGGTGAAATCATGGCTCCCTTGACATAAAAGGTGTTTTGTCACTGAATTTAGCAGGACCAGGATTTCACCCTATCAGTCTGATAAACTTCAGAAGATTCACTAACATAAAGGTAGAATCAGTGAATCCAATAAGACCTCTCAGCCAAATAATACTTACAAGCTGTTACTTGTAAGCTATTGTAAAAACCTTCAGTTTGTAGACTCCAGAATCTCTCTGGACTGAGCTGGTTTCAGGCTCCAACAATTCAGTTTTGATTCCAGTATGGTGGTGGTTTCTGTTTCACTTGGATAGCTTTATATCACTTTCTTGTATACCATCCATAAAAGCCACAAAATTGTGTCTTGGGGAATACACAGCAATTTAATTAATGAATAAAGTTTTCATAGACATCTAAATAACTTAGAAGTCTTCACTGAAGTCAGACATAGAATTTAAGGCCAGAAAGGACAATTACATCATTTAGCTTGACTGCCTGTACAGGTCATTTGTCCAGTAGTATGGTGCTTAATATAGTTATGTTTGATTATAGCATATCTTCCAGTAAAACACTAAGTATTCATTTAAAGATACAGGAGATGGATAATCTGATCCCCCTCACTGTTAAGAAATGGTACTTTACTATATTAAGGATTTTATACTAAATGAAAGAACCTTTGATATTTGGGGTGAAACTTTGGGAACACCTAGCTTAGACCCCTGCATGTCTAAGTCCTTTTTGAAATTGAGACTAAGTGCTTTTGGAACTGTTATCCAGGACCTACAAAACAGGTGACTCCTAGAAAACAGTATTAAGGTACAATGAATACTGTAGATACATTTATAGGTACAAATTCATTAAGGTACAATGAATACTGCAGATGCATTTGTTTTGCTATATTTCTACTGGAACATGACGATTCTTAAAAGGAATTTTGAACAGGCAAGAATTTCTCATTGAAAAGTTGAACTAGAAAAGGATAATCTACATTTGTCTAGGCCCCAGAACCATGGAAGGACAAAGGCAGGCAGCTACAAGTCACGACAGCTACAAAAAGCTGGGCCTCATGCTCCACTCTTCTTTCTTCTTGAATCTGTTCACTGATATAAATATTTCACTGTAGATATGAAGTTATATTCACTGTAGGTATTAAGTTATTACCTTCTGTTATGGATTATGCCCCCTTCAGGAGGACTCCTGAAGAAGAAGCCCTATTCAGTCTCCCTCTCTCCAAGAACTCCTTGATGCCAACCCTGACGTGGCTTCTTGAGGGACCAGCACCTGACTTTGAGGCCCCGGCTCTTCTCTGTCCCTGGTTTCCCCAGAGATCCATAAGCCCCCTACCTCACAGAGCTCGTTCTTTTTGGTCAGCTCCCAGAAGGGGAAATGTTTTCTTCTTCAGAGAAGAACACGAGATTGTCGGCTTCCCAAACAGCACAGTCGACTGACTGCTTGTTTCCAAATGAGCAGTCCTTATTGTGTCACTGCAGGTCCCTCTGTCCTTCCTCAGACTCCACACTGTCACCCCAGGGACCGTTCCTTTCTCTCTACTCTGTCTTCCTACTCCCTCTGCCCTTTCTC